TTGCCTGAAGAGAATTGTTAGCCATGTTTTATTACTGATGGAAGCACAAGAGGCTAAGACTCTGGTATAGAACCAGATAACCTATGTTGTGCAATTGAAGGTTGCTCAAGCTTTTCAGTTCCCCAATTCCAAGAGGCAATTTCCCTGAAAGCTGATTGTTGTTTAGCTCAATTCTAACCAAAGATGTAGCTTCTGAAATCTCTTCAGGCAACTCACCTGACAACCGATTGTATTCGGCTGACATTATCCCGACCTTTTGCGTTCTTGATATCAGATGTAATGGACCTTCAAACTGATTGTAAGCAATGTCAATTATCCACTTGGGGCAATCCCCATATTCCAGCCGGAACTCTGCCTGAAAGTGAGGTTACTCACTCTAAACCGCTTTAAACTGGCACAATTCGCATAAGTAGTTGGGATTCACCAGTGAACCTGTTCTGAAGCATAAGCAGCCCTCTCATGGTTCCTTTCTTGCACATATCTGGAGGAATTGGACCGGACAAGAGATTCTCCGATACATCGATGAAGTCGAAATCAGCCCAAGAGCCTAACTTTTGCGGAAGAGGACCAGTGAACATGTGGTATAAGAGACAGATTCCCCAGTTTCTTGAACTCACCCAGCTCAGGGGGTACTTGACCATTAAACTGGTTCTCAAAGAGTTGCAGGCTCACCAGGTTGGTCAAATACTTAACTTCCGATATATCTCCTTCAAGATTGTTGCTTGAGGCATCGAAATATTCTAGGCTTGTCAAATTTCTCAATCCAGCAGGAAGTTTTCCAGTCAATTCATTTTTGTAAAGCTCAAGCAGCTTGTGAAGATTTCCAATCTCCGATGGAATTTCTCCTGATAAATAATTCAATTGGAGCTCCAAATTTATAAGCTCCGTGAGATCTCCAATGGCGGGAGGGATCTTCCCTTCGATGCTGCAATTCGCCAAATAAAGCCAATTCAGTTTCTTCAGCTTCAGGATTTCACTTGGAAACGGAGTTCGATCCAAAGGGTTATCCCCGAGGCTGAGAACAGTAAGATTGGTCATGTTTTCAAGCGAATTCCACGGGAAAGCAACCGAAATTCCACTTCTATTCAAATGAAGGTATCGTAATTCGCTGAGCAATGATATAGCCGGGAATGAACCCGAGAAAAGATTGTTCCCCAGATCCAAATATTGAAGCTTTGAGCAATTATTGAGATCATCCATGATTGCACCGTACAATAAATTGTAACCAAAGGAAAGTTTATCCAAGGATTGAAGCTGACATATCGAATCCAAAGGAAGAACACCCGTCAACCTCTGATTTGAAAGCTCGATTTCCTTAACCGACCCATCGCCGTTGCAGGCGATTCCATTGAAGTTGCAAACAGAACCGGCAGCCTCCCATGAATCGAGAACATCGGGGCTTGATTTATCGAGTGTAGATTTCAACGTTAGCAATACTTGAAGCTCATCGGATTTTACACTGCAAGGGAAGGAGAAACAGAACAAGAGACATAAAGAGAGGAAGAATTGCCGGTAAGAACAGGCGTTTAACATACCGGAGGTTTGACGAAACCGACAAGAAAGATAAGACTTTCTTTTTTTCCTTGTAAAGGAGAAGAAATGAAACAAGGGTGGACTCAAGGGAGTGGCATTTAAAAAAGGTGGCGGCTTGGTTGGCGTTCACATTAATCTGCCTTTGCAAAGAAGCACTGTGAAGAAGAAGGAAGGAAATGACCCGTGTCTAGAGACGAAATCATTATCTTGGAGGGAGCTATTACAGGATCGAGAGGGACAACCTTTTCCATTCTCCTGAATGTAATTGGATACTATAAAATTCTTTTTTTCTGTCAAAATTTTGAAAAAGATTAATAATAAAGTTCTTTAAAAAACCAATGGCAAAAAACATGTTTGTTTGGAACATGACAGCTTACTGTAAATATTAAGATTAGCTCAAAATCTATTAACTCTATATTGATGATGACAGCAAAGGGCCAAAGAAGAAACTTTAAAATGCTAACACTGTAATCTTAATATATTAACATTATCTAAGTTAATCCAACCTCAATTATTTTGTTCTTTTAAGATGGTGTGATATCTCAACATGATATTAAAGCACTTCTAGTTCATGGGAGATTATTGTTTATGAAGTAATTACAAACCTTTTTGTTTTATGCCTACAAAAAATTAAAATTAATAGTGATTAAAAGAGTTCAAAATCTCTCATCGTCACTCGTCACAATCTTCGGTCATCATCGTTTACAGTTGTTAGACCTCAAAAAGATTAATTCGTTCTCTTTTATACTAAATGTAAATTTAATGTATGTTTTATCAGAAAATATTTTGAATCTAATAAATCTAATTTGAAAGTTTTTGAATTATTTTAAAAATATATAAATTAAAGTTTAGATAAATTTATTTATTTTGTGATTTAGATGTTTCACTTGGGAAATATTTAAAATTTTATTTAGAAGATAGATCTTATGATTTTAAATTATAGAATTTTTAAATTAGAAAAAGACAAATCATGTTCAATCTAGATATTAAGGCTCATTCGGCCAACATCTTAACTGAGACCATTCGATCGACGTATTGTATTTTATTCAGTATAGCTATTTATATAATAAAGAAAGAACCAACAACCAGTTAGTCTAGTGGGATGAGATACTAAGTCTCTTAAGCAAGGTTAGGAGTTTAAATCTTGGCGTTTGCGAATGAAGCAAACTGGGTTGGGAGGGTCGCCCTCGCCTCTGCAGTACCCGAACTGGATTAGCGATAATAGATCAGCATTAATTAATTCAAAAAAATTTGATGGACTTTCGAATTTGATTTTGATCGATTTAATTAAGAAATAAAAATTAATGATCATACATGATATATGAATTAATAATAATGAATTTAAATTTACTTATTATATCATTTAATAATTTTTTACTCTAATTATCTTTTTTTTTCTTGCATTACCGTTAGTCTTTTTTCTCTTTTTCATCTTTGTAGTCAACATCAACACTAATTTTAATGTTGGTCGCCAACCGCTGATATTTATTATTTTTTCTTTATTTTACTAGGCTATATCTTTTATATTTTTTCTTGTTTTTATGTTTTAATAATATTACTTTTATGACACGTTTTCCTTTATTTTTATGACATGTTTCCTCTCTATTTTGACACATTCTTTTGGTTGTTTTATCTTTTTTTTTCTCATGACTGGATCTGACTTCGCCAAAATTGAATCAAGATGTCACTCATTTGTTATTATGATGATCTTCCATATTTTGGATCATCATATTGGATTTGTATAAGCAATTAGCGTTGTGGATAGTTTTCTTACGTCGCTCGATTCTGATTTGCGGTTTATCAGTGGTCTTTATAGCTTGATCATTTTGTGGTTTGTTTACGGATGCGGTCAATCTGTTCATATCTACATTTTATTCAAGTTTATTTAGTTAGGTTTTAACATCTTCCTTATATGGTTATTGTGATCTTAAGTGACTAGTTTCTTGTGTTAATGGTTATAGGAAAATATTTTTTATGTGTTTAGTTTACGATTATGATTGTAAACTTTCATTGTAATTTGAATTTTTTTAATATTAATAAAATTAGCGGATTCTATCTTGTAAAAAAATTATTATACCATTTAATAAATTTATATTAAATAATTACAGAAAATAAAAACCCCTATTCGTTTTTAGGGGTGATAAATTATATACAAGTGGGCTAAAATCTTGAAACAAACAAATAATGGGCTGAAATGAGTTGGATCTGGGTCCAAACCACCATTTTTGGCCGTAGTCCTTACTCCTTATTTTACGCCATCTCGGTTTGTATAATTTGGGTTTATCTAAACATTTTAAAATTTAGCCTGTGATTTCACAATGTTTAATATGTAATTAAAATTTCTAGGGTGAAATATACAAATGATTTATAGAGTGTTGTTTTGTTGAGTTATTATAGTATTAAAACTTACAAAATGGTCTTTCTGACTATAGGGTGATATTTTGTTGAGTCCATCGACTATTAAAAGTTACAAAATGGTCACCCAACTATTAATATGTTGGTTCGACGATATATGATAAAATCATATTTTAATAGTGTTTATTTTGTCGTCGTTGCTTTCAAGTACTAGCTCGACGACATAATATTTCAAGCATTAACTCAAATACATAATGTAAATGGATATTCTATCTACAAAATACAACTCCAACAATTTTAGGATAAGATTTTATCATATCTAAGTCAACATGTTAACGTCTAGTCCAGAAAGTCGCTAATTTTTTAGCGGAAAATGACGAGTTTGAAATATATGAATAATCCAATAATAATTTTGTAATTTTTAATAGTCAAAGGACTCAATAAAACATCGCCCTATAGTTGGAACCATTTTATAAATTTTAATATCCAATTGACTCATTAAAACAACTCAAAGATCATTTATATACTTTACTCAAATTTCTGTAAGAATTAAATTATTAGTAAAACGTAGTCGTATCATAATATGGCCCATTTTTAATGCTAATGAAGAAAACGTTTAATGACGTACAAGTATCTGGGTGATATATATATATATATTCTGGCATTACTATAAATTTTTAAAAATAAACTTCCAGATAAATAACTTTAACAATTGATTTTAGAATCAAATAGACAGCCCACTTCCATTTGTTGCCAAATAGTGGTTTAAAAAGTTACAAAACAATGTAAATCAAAAGATATTATTCTCGACATTATTATATATCAACAGAGAGAGAGAGAGAGAGAGAGAGGGGGAGAAAAATCATTAAAAGAATGACATGACACGGATAAAACGACAATCTAAATAGGAATAAATTCAAATTGAAGCGATCCTTTGGGTATACTTGGCAATTAAGCATATGCTCTTTTTTTAACAACCCTAAAGCTAATCCTTAGTCATTGAAATTTTGTCTCGTCTTCCCTAAACTAACCATCTGGTTTCGTATTTTATGTAAAGGCTACTTTCGTCATTTGGTGTTACAGTCTAGAAATAAAAGAAAAGCCTTAACAACTGAGTTTTTGTTACGAATACAGTCCAAGACAACAACAAAAAGAAGAAAAAGAATGTCTGATCCGGATTTTGCCCTCGGAATTGGACTACAAATTCCTAATCAGGTCAATCCTTAATCTCCCTATTTCTAGCTTTTATTCGTGGTGGTTCTGTTCGTAATTTTCGCCTATTACTAAGGTTATTTCCGTTTTTCTTGTTTCCTTTTGACACTGCAACCCGCCAGTCTTACTGTCCACTCTTTTAACTGGAACCGCCACTCCCCTAAATTCCGCAAGGAATCTTAAAATTTCAACGGCAGCAGAACCCGAAAATCCGTTTTTAGAGAGAGAAACAGAAGCGGTTATAGAGAGAGAACGAAATAAGGGGAGAAGAGATCCCGGAACTCAAAGGAAAGGGATGGCCACCCCCGAAGTAAACCGACAACGACCCGGAGGGAGACCTCCGACGTCGTTAAGTCGACCGCCGGTCCGAGCTAGAATTCGGCTCCGGCAGCTGTTCCGAGTCGCTTCCGTGGCGTGCGGGATACAATTCGGGTGGGCTTTACAGCTCTCGCTATTGACACCTTACGTTCAAGAGCTAGGCATACCTCACCAGTGGGCCAGCATCATATGGCTATGCGGGCCGCTTTCGGGCCTCGTGGTACAACCTCTGGTGGGCCACATGAGCGACCGATGTAACAGCCGGTTCGGTCGTCGCCGACCTTTTATTGTGGCTGGTGCTGTTTCTATTATCGTTGCCGTTTTGATCATCGGTCACTCCGCAGATATTGGATGGTTGTGCGGTGATACTGACGATTCTCGGCCGAGAGCTATCGTGGTGTTTGTTTTCGGGTTTTGGATTCTTGATGTTGCTAATAACGTGACTCAAGGTCCTTGTAGGGCTCTTCTTGCTGACCTTACTGGTTAGTTTCTTTTCCTTTAATTTTTTTGGCTTAATTATTTAAATGGGGAAAGTAGGAAATAAAATTATGTCGTTTTGTTTGACATTTCTAAAGAATAAGTCACCCCTTATCAAAGAAAATAAATTATCTTACATTTGGTAATTGGTAGTATTACTGTATCCTTTTATGAACGTTACGTGCCCGTAGTGTTTGTCGCAATTTAGTCTTTCACAACAAAACCTTGGTGGACGGTTGCACCCTTCGTTTTCTGATACAAATACAATTTCGGTTGTGGTTGTAATAATTATATGAAAGTAATTTTTTTGGTTCCGAACAGTTAGCTGACTATTTGATTGCTCCAATTGGTTTGAAAATGCAATGCTATTCTCAAGTATTGAAGTGTTACTGATTTGGGGTTTTGTCAATGGAGCTTGTTCGAATTATTTAAATATCAGTTCATTTCCCTCGAGAATGAATAGTCTTAAAATTCGATGAAAAAAAAAGGAAGCGAACTTCCGAGCTTGTTCAACAAAATGGCCATTGTAGGAGATATATCCTCGTGTTTATAATTTCTACTGGGATACTCCTTAGATTTTCTGTGCATGGAGCCAAACTTCTCTGGCAACGAGTTTTCTATAACTTATCCCTCTCACACAACATTTCATGACAATAGTACCTAGAGTTCCATGATATGGAATAAATAGAAGAAACTTGGTACTTCCATGTTTACATTTTCCATGCAAATTGTAACAAATTAAAATTACAATCATGTTTGCAACTGTTTAATGTATAAATATAGAAACGATGAATCCAACCACAAATTGACATTGTCTTCTGATTTTCTTATGTTAGAAAAGGATCATCGAAGAACCCGAGTTGCAAATGCATACTTCTCATTATTCATGGCCATTGGCAATATTCTTGGCTATGCAACAGGATCTTACAGTAGTTGGTTTAAGATTTTTCCATTTTCCCGAACAGCTGCCTGTAATGTTGACTGTGCAAATCTCAAGTGTGCTTTCTATCTAGACGTTATTTTCATTGCCTTAACAACATATTTGAGTGTTTTATCTGCTAAGGAAGTGCCTCTAGGTTCAGTTGAGATATCTACAGCCTTTAATGAAGAGAGGCCTGAACTCTCAGGTGGCGATGCTGAAGAAGCTTTTCTTTGGGAATTATTTGGAACCTTTCGATATTTCTCAGGGACTATATGGATAATCTTATCTGTTATTGCATTGAATTGGATTGGATGGTTCCCTTTCCTTCTCTTTGATACTGACTGGATGGGTCGAGAGATCTATGGTGGTAAGCCAAATGGAGGGTCGAATTATGCTGCTGGGGTCAGAATGGGTGCACTTGGATTGATGTTGAATTCCGTTGTTCTGGGAATTACGTCAGTGCTTTTGGAAAAGCTTTGTAGCAAAACAGGAGCTGGTTTTGTCTGGGGAGTTTCAAGCATTCTCATGGCCCTGTGCTTTCTCTCAATGCTTATCCTATCATATGTGGCAAACCATATGGGTTATATTGGCCATGATCTACCCCCAGTTGGCATTCTGATTGCTGCACTACTGATATTTTCTGTTCTTGGCTTTCCTTTGGCGGTAAGCTGCTCTCTCTTTCCCACAGAAAATCATTTGAAGTTTTAATTGAATTTTCCAAGAATAAAGGTATCTTGATAGAGTTTTTTCTTCACATGGACTATGTAGCCTTTGAGAAATTACAGTTTAATCAATCTGAACTGATGATCTTCTTGGTTCAAAGCATGAAACACCATTAACTTGTGACTGTCCTATTTAATGTAATTCAATGGTCAATACAATTACTACGACAGCTGGATCTTAGAACAGGTCCAAACTAATGACTGAGCCTGAGGTTAACTTTGTTCTACCAAAGACTCAATTAATCTTCTTTAACAAATGAAAGAAAAAGTTGGGAGCTTTTATTTGTGCATTTAACTGATGCAATTGATATTCTATTGCAGATTACTTACAGTGTTCCATATGCCTTGATATCCACGCGTATTGAGTCTTTGGGACTTGGTCAAGGTAGGCGATATTTTTATTTTTGTATCTAATATGTTGCTCTTTTCTTACCTTCTGGAAAAGTGGTTAAGGTGCTGTTCTCTGTGTTGTTTTCTACAGGATTGTCAATGGGTGTCCTAAACCTTGCTATTGTTATTCCACAGGTATTGCTTAGCACCTGTACTCATTTGATCACATTTTACTCTTTCCCCTTTCTTTGGTTTTCTGTAGATTGGGGCTAAATCAAACTTGATTGGTACACTTTTGACATGATCATTTCATTGATTGATGCACATTTGAAAAATTAAAGCTGACTGGATTTTTAGCTTCTCTTAGAAATTTCTTATATGGGGTTTAAACAATTCGTTGTTCTTGATGTCAGTAAATATTAGGCTGTCTTTATGTATCTGGAAATGGTCATCTCATTCATTAGTTCACCCCTTTAAAAATTGAACTTGACTGGATTTGATCCTTTCGTGTAACATAGGTCTAAACAATTCATTGTTATTTCATGTTTTCGCGAAGGATTTATTGGAAAGAATTCTCTCTCATGGACACACACATGCATAACCAATGGTCAATCATTTAGATACTACCAAGCATTCCACTCCAACAATTTAATGGAAGATGATACATTAATTTTTCACTTTTTTTAGTTTTGTTGAGCATCCGACCTTAAACCAATTGGTAATAAATGGGGGGTCCCAACTTGAATTTAAGACTCTAGGAAATTCAATATTTAAAATACGAGGAATCAATACTTAACACTCCCCTCTTGTGTAGTTCAATAAGGGCAGACATGTAGATCTATTAATCCAACTTAATATGGTGTATACAATATAGTGTTTTCATTGACAGAAATTCTTGAATTATCTTTCAATTTAAATTGTGAAACTTCGGTTGTTATCTATAGGTTCTGGTGTCCGTTGGAAGTGGACCGTGGGATCAACTATTTGGTGGTGGAAACTCACCAGCTTTTGCTGTAGCTGCTGTTGCGTCCCTCATGAGTGGACTGATGGCAATCTTGGCTATCCCTCGAAGTACACCACAGAAAACCAGGGCCCTCCCATGAGGTATTTTGTTGTACCTTATTTTTTGTATGCTATCAACATAAATATTAAATTGTTCAGACATCAAAATTTGTTTATAGGATATTGTTACATTATTGATCAATAAAATTGTTACAATCTGAGCCTTTGTTTACCACTACATGATTTCTTTTTTGACATTTGATATAGTGACATACTGCCGGTGTATTACGTTGCAAATAGTGAGTTTAAAGCTTTTACATTTTAAGCTTAAAAACCAGAAACTTAGAATAAGATCGTTTCTCAAACCATAAGTTCCCGGAATTGTTCATTGATGCAGCCTTTCAAAATGGAAATTATTGAAAATGAAATACCGACAGGGCATTATTTTGCATGTTGATGATGATGGCAACTCAAAAATAATATTAACAAATATTTGTAGCTTTCAATGAAGTATGTGTTGATAGAAAGAAAGATGTATTGTTGCTTTCATTGCATTCTGGATGAGACAGTATCTAAAATCAGTGGGGAATTTATTTTTTTGGATGAAAAATCTGGCCACCTGCTGGTAATGCTGGTGAAAGCGTGGATTGTTTGATTCGACAATTAATCCCGGGACTACTACTTCCCCTAGCACCAAAGATAAGTTGCTGCTGATTGGGATCTATTCCTTAGAAATATCAACTTTTCTATTTTTCTGCGAAGGATTTTATTGGGTGAAAGGAAACATTGCAATTGCCCATTTATGGTTCAATCATGATTTATTGGAATCTCGTGCATTTTCTTGTGCCAAATTTTGTTGAATGAGGGCGGTGAATTGTGCTTTGTGGCCAACAGTATGCGAGTATTGCAGATTGAAAATCTTTGATAGAGACCTGATCTTTTTCTTCTTCCTTGGAAAAAAAAAGCTTGATTGATTGATTTTTTATGAAGTGATGTATCTCTTTATTATTATTTTGTTCTATTAAATTTTAACATATATTTTCCTCCCTTGTTGCTTGCCATCTAAACATGGGAATACGTTTGTGTTTTATTGCACTTCTATCAGTGACCTTACTTATTAGCCTTTCTGGTAAAAGTTGTACCCTCTCAATGTGCCTGGAATGCATAGGCTTTGGTGCCATTTCTTCATATTATCATCACTGACACAGCTGAGGCATTTGGATGGAACATTAGAAACAGGAAAATAGTATTAATAGATATTTTTGGAATATTTATGACTCTTCCTCGTACAGAACAAAACTGAAAATCAAACCATTTGCATTGTTCTTTTCTTTATTATTTCTGTACGTTCAAGTTCCATCAAGCTGAATTTATTTGCATATGAAGCTAAATGATATTTATTTAAGGCATCAATTCGATCCTTTTGCTTTCCTTTTTCTTATTAAGGACTAAGCAAGCAAGCATCGACCTTTTTAAAAAAAGAAACACTGGCGGAATCTATGAATTTGTTCGAGTTTCTAGACAATAAGTACATAAAAATCTCTGAAAGGTCTTGTCACTGTTGCATATCCTTTTCCTTGAATGGAACTTGTGTACATTTGGGGCATTAAACGAACGCTCTTGGTGGTGATATGCCAATAGAAATTCTGCCCCTACTCCACTTCAACAACAACTTGGTATAAAAGTGGAATGTTTCTTTTCTTTTCTTTTCTGGTTAAATGCTAGAAAACGAATATCATCGTTGTCATTCCAGACCATCATGTCAATTCCTATTTTAACAGGATAGGACCCCACTTCCCCATTACAAATGCTAAATTCGGAACTGGGTTCACATTTTTTGTTTAGAACATTTGTTCGATTGGAGTTTTGATGACACATTTATTTCATCTACAGCAACTTATCTTGCAGGAGACGCATGGAGTCTGATAATAGTAAGAACTGATTCTCGAAGCTGCCCAGTTAGTCTGCAACATAAGAAAAACAAGAAAAAGAAAGGGTTAAGCTGCCTGGCTTGATTGAGCGACTACATCAATGTGTGCTAATGAGAAGAAAAGGGATATAGATTATAAATGGTTGGAAATGGAGCACGTTACTGTGTATCAGTGTCCCCTTTCTTCCAGCTGCTGGTTTTCCATACAGCCATATCTACTGTCGTATCTCCATTAACACACTTACTGGTCCCCTTCATCAAACAATACCTACCTCCACATACCCATGAAGATAACCTTTTTTAAACAATACCTAAATCCCCACATGTTGTTTAACATTTGCTTGAGAGCTCTCTATTAGTTTCCCGCAAATAGAGATGGTTTTATTCCCCTATTTGGACCAAACACGGTCTGTCCTCAGGATATCACAACTTGGAGAAGATCAGCAAACTGCACTCAAAAACTTTTTGTGTCCAGCCCAGACCGACAGGCCGCTGTAGTTATATAACACTAGTATAAACTTTAAGAGGCTCAATCGTAGTAATATTTTATTGCTTAAGATCTTAGCATATCTCTTGATGGAGAAAAAAACACGCCTTTCCTTCTTTTTTCCACTATAAATTTTATAATCACCGATGGAGTTGCAGCGAGCTTATCAGCCATATATGTCAGAGAAAGAAACTCCACCACAAGTTCATACTGTCGGAATATTTAAGTTTATTTTTATTTGGTTCAATGCACAACAGATGGGATTGCCCTAAAAACGAATGAAAGTGAAGAGATGAAAGGCACAACAGATGGGACCAGAAACTCAGATGTCAGCCAAAAGCTTGTCACCTCTCATATTGAACAACCAGTCTTAAGGGATCGATGTTCGGTTTCTCGCTGGTGCGTGGTATGGGTTTCTTTCACATGGGTTGTGCGAGATAGGAACATGTTACATGCATGGCTGCCTTAGAACATGCAAAACCAATCTATCTGCCTACAAACTTACATATAGTACTATTAACCATGAATATATATATTATGCTGATATGCTTCTTCCATTTCTGATTGACAGCAAAAGAACAAAGGCTATACAGAATCAGCTTCATAATAATATAATATTAGTATTATTTATAAACAAAAGATGAGAAATTAAAGTCTTGCTATCTTTGTCTCAAAGCATACTCTCCGCCTCACTTGTTGAACATATAAGGAGAATTCAGATTCGAAGTGATTAACCTTCACACTCGGCTTAGAGATAGAGGGAGAAAAAAGAACAAAAAAGCTAAAGAAAGGATAGGATGGGCGGCCAACTTCTAAAGCATTGTCTTCGGTATTTTCTGAAATCGACACGTTCCGAGAACCTAAACCGTAGGCCCCAATGGCCTCTGTATAAATATCGACATTCATTCCATCTCCAAACCCCAAATAATAAGCACAATCAGCATAATAAGCACAGACAGGATCGACGACGTTCTTTACCATTGCAATCAAATTTCATTTTAACTTATCCATTCCCTTTTTTTTCCATTTCTTTCCCTTTTTCCCCCATACCTTTTTTTGTCCTTAAATTTAAGATAGCCAACTTTTAGCTATGTATAACACAAAGCCGGCTTCTCCTACATCCTCCTTTCTTCCTCCTACAAAAACCCTTTTCAACAAAACTGTGGATCTTCCCATTCCCAATGATGATGGTGATGAACTCCGTAGATTGCCTACTCTCCCTGAGGTATAAAAACTGCTTGAATTCTAGAGAAGGGTCCTTTTTTATTTATTCAATATATATATATATATATATCATCTAATGTTGTATTTGTCTCAGGCTCTGGAAGAGATAAAAGCCGTAGGGAAGATCTCAGGCCCGACAGCTGTCAGTAGTTTACTTCTATATTCGAGAGCGATGATCTCCATGCTCTTTCTCGGCTATCTTGGTGAACTCGAGCTGGCTGGTGGCTCTCTTGCTATTGGTGTTGCAAACATTACTGGCTACTCTGTAATCTCTGGTTTAGCCATGGGAATGGAACCCATTTGTGGACAAGCTTATGGTGCCAAACAATGGAAAATCCTGGGGTTAACACTGCAGAGAACGGTGCTTCTCCTCCTCTCGGCTTCTATCCCTATCTCTTTCATGTGGGTCTACACGAAAACTATTCTTCTCTGGTGTGGTCAAAACCAAGAAATATCATCCGCGGCACATACATTTATTCTTTTCTCCATTCCAGACCTTTTTTTTCTCTCGCTTCTTCACCCTCTTCGAATCTACCTCAGGACTCAAAGCATTACGTTGCCTGTGACTTACTGCTCCGCCATCTCTGTGGTTCTCCACGTTCCGTTGAATTACCTTCTTGTTTTCCATTTCAAGCTTGGTGTAGCAGGGGTGGCTATATCCATGGTGTGGACTAATCTCAACGTCTTCCTCTTCCTCTCTTCGTTCGTTTACTTCTCGGGTGTGTATAAAGATTCTTGGGTAACTCCGAGCATCGATTGTCTTAAAGGATGGTCGTCTCTTCTTGCTCTTGCTGTGCCGACTTGTGCTTCAGTTTGTCTCGAATGGTGGTGGTACGAGTTCATGATATTGATGTGCGGGTTACTTGTTAACCCCAAGGCTACCATTGCTTCCATGGGGATCCTTATTCAAACAACCTCTCTAATCTATTGCTTCCCTTCGGCTTTAAGCGTTGGAGTTTCCACAAGAGTGGGGAATGAACTTGGTGCAAACCGGCCCGGGAAAGCTCGGGTTTCCATGATAGTCTCTCTCGTTTGTGCCGTATCGATAGGCCTCTTGGCGATGTTGTTCACGACCTTGATGAGACACCAATGGGGCAAGTTTTTCACCAAGGATACCGAAATCCTCGAGCTTACAGCTGTAGCATTGCCGATCGCCGGGTTCTGTGAGCTCGGGAATTGCCCTCAGACAACCGGTTGCGGGGTGTTGAGGGGTAGCGCAAGGCCGACCACGGGAGCCAACATAAACCTGGGGTCGTTCTACCTGGTGGGGATGCCGGTGGCGATCCTAATGGGGTTCGTGATAAAAATGGGGTTTGCCGGACTCTGGCTTGGTTTGCTAGCGGCTCAAGCATCATGTGCTTCGCTCATGCTGGTAGTTCTTTGGAAAACAGATTGGATGGTTGAAGTGGAAAGAGCACGAGTGCTGACACAAAAAACAAGTAACAACAAACCAGTTCCTCCATTGATGATTTCACCTAATCCTAAAGAAACCAACAAGAAGAACAAGGGCGACGTTGAAGAGATCATTTTGTGCATTAACGATGAGCTTGTGAAGTTGGCCTCACTTGAAACACGCCCTCTCCTATCTAACTCATGAGGCACTTCTCAGAGTTTGCCCAACCCTTCTTCTTTTGCTTCACCATCTCATCAAAATACTTCAACCCCACATTATAACTCGTTTTACTACATTTCCACCCCGATTTCTACTGTACAAGAGTGCCTTTAATCTTATTTTTCTTGTTTAATTTTTCTTTTCGTTTTAACTCTTTCCTAATATGTATTTCTTTTTACTAAATAATACCATACAAGCTAATTACATTGAATAAGCACAATACAGTTATAAAAAGAATTTACATAGATAAATTAAATTATCCAATCATTTCCTTAAAATGTACAATTAACTATTAGAAAATAAAATAAAATAAAACTATAACAAATAATTATTAAAAGCACTAATAAAGAATGTAGAATAAAATAAATATACTTAAATTATTTATATTGACAAGTGATAGAGGAAAATAAATATGGAAAGGATTAAACTATGGATTGTTTTAAAGATGTGTGGAAAGAGACTCTGTCTGGCTTTCTTGTTATTCCCTTCCTTTTAAGGCTGTAAACCCATAGTTTGAGCACTTCCTAAACAGGAAGAGTTAGGAAAATTATAAAATATATTAATCATTGTCTATGAAAAAAGATCAAATAAAAGATTGAGAATATGTTAATATCTGAACTTTACTAATTAATAAACTCCAAACTGTTGTAGTATTCTTCTGTTTTTCTCTATACCTTGAAAGCTTTAAAATTATGTTTAAGAACATTGTTTGATGACAAAGTGCTTATTTATTTTTATTATTAAACTAAGATAATTATAAAGTATTTATCAAATACAGATGGCGTGTTTAATTTAAAAAGACTAATTCAGGGCATTTATTATGTGTGGAAAATGTTATTAATTTCCATAGAAAAATAAAAATAAAAATCCATAGAAAGAATGGAGTAATAATTGGGAGGAAGTGAGGGTGTTGAGGGGGAGGCCCTGCTTCTGCTTCAACAGAAGAAACAAAATCTACCTAGTATTACCTGTCTACTTCTCACTTGACAAACTTTTGCCTCTGCTTTTGGTAGTTTCCACCGCCACTTCCACCACCACCTCCATCTCCACTTGTTTTACAATCCTAAAACGCACCCAAAGTACAAAACTGAAACGAATACACAACAAGTGGGATTTATTCAGGGTTGTTTGTTTGCTTCTTAATGGAACCATTCACGCTGAACGTTGAACCATTCAACATTCAGCGTGTTTGTTTCGCACATGAATGATTCAGTGCTGACTGATTCAACAAAATAGTGCTGAATGATTCAACACAGAAGTACATTCTGAATGATTCAGAGCCATTATCAAACAGCATGTCACATTCAGAGCTAATTCATACAGAGCCTCTGAATCATTTAACGCTTAATCATTCTGAAGTAAATAAACATCCCCTCAATCTTTTTTTTCCATAAACAAGTACAGTCGACACCAGAGTGTACAAAAAAATGAAAATAATAATAAAAAGTAGAGAATAGTCGTATGTAAAGTGCTCCATTTTGAGTGGTATCATCGACCTCTTGTATGCATTAATTTCTAGTGTCCTTTGTTAGTATGTAATTTTACATGCTTATACTTTTAATTAATTTATAAATAATTTAAATTTATTTAGAATTGACCCGACCCGTACCTGACCTGACTTCAACCCAAATACGAATTTGAGGTGTAACATTGACTTTTCAACACTTTGACTCTTTGAAAATCTGACTAAAATTTGTTTTTTTAATTTTATTTTAGTGATGAAGCACTCATTAACACGAGTTAATATCGAAATTAATATTAATCAACAAAAACAAATATTTAACATACTTACATAAACTTTAATTAGTATAGTTACAAAACATATAAGAGCATTTGCGATTTAAACATTTTTAGTACATGCCAAAAATTTCAAAATAACAAAATCACCTACTATTCAAATCGGTCTGATCTGATCTTCTTCAGAGAGTACGTTGTCCTGACCTAGTTTTACTCTGCTGACTTCTTTAAACCTACATGTGAAAACACTCACACGCTAAGTCTTTGACTTAGTGAGGCATAAATGAGCATAATAAAACATTCATTTAAATACTTTAGGAGAAACATTGAAAACGAAAAACAAGATATATTTCATAAAAATAACATATACGGTTAAACATTGTTCAATTCATATTAACTTGTTTAAATAGTCCAACGTAAATCATTGAGAACTCAAGGTATGTGAGTACTTTGAGGTTGTGTACTGTAATTGTAGTCAAAACTGTCGCGTAGAATTTGCACCGAAGTGCCACGTAGAATATGCACAGAGGTGTCAAATAGATTTGTCCCGAAGGACCATGTAGAATTGTTCCGAAGGACCGCGTAGAATCCCTCGACTCTTGACATATCAATTATACCTCTAATTCTCATAGCACATACTTTGGACTTTAACCATATAAACATTTCACATAGCATTATTCAAGTTATCATTTATTCACATAGAACATATACTCATAGTAATGAAATCAAACAATGCTTTCGAAATACGATTTAAGTAATACCATAAAAATTAATACAAATAACTATTCAAAATTCTATTTTAGTTAAAAACCATCGGAAGTCGACTCATCGCAAGTCTTCTTCTCTTGTATTACTACATTAAAGTAATATGCACTCACTTTTGCCTCACTTAAGCCCTAAGCAAAAATCCTTTTCACTTTCGCTCATTCTCGTTATTACTTCGATTTGTTCGGTACTTGCTTTCAATCAAAATCTACACATTAACATGACCAAGATAAATACCGAAGCTCAATTAATTGTAAACAATTCGGCACTTACATAAACTAAATGAAACACCTAATTCAAAATTTCAGACTGAACAATATCGTACTCTACACCCAGTACCGATACTTCCCTTCTATGGTACCGATACCTACCTCAGTATCGATACCCAAATAGCATTCTGGAAATTCTTCTTCAATTATAGTATTGGTACCTTACTATTGGTATTGATACTACCACATTCAGTATCGATATTGTTCATCTATTCTCACCATTTCCTTCTATTTAAGCTTATAGTATTGGTATTGTTCTTCCAGTACCAATACTCTTGCCCAGAATTCACTTATTTCATTTCGAATTTTACCCAAAACTCACCTAAATCTCATACTTCTAACTCTATTCATGCCCTTAAACTCAATAACATTTATCACAACCAACTTATATCAATTAAATTCCCTTTAACATCCAAAATTTTCACTAGAACACTTAAAACAAAGTTACACCCATTCTTCCAACATGTTTCCAATCATTTCTAATACCTCAAACACCTTATTCAGACCTTTGGCAAGTCAAATATATCTTTAAAATCCAAATACTAATCAATTTTCATCAACTCCATTAAAAACTCATTTTACCAAATCACCATTATCTCATCAATCCCATAGCTTCTAATCATCTTTAAGCTTTCTTAGCTTCTATACCACCCAAAACTCAAAACCAACTCAAAAATACAAGAAACAACCAATTTCAAAATTACTCACCTTAGCATGGAGGTTCATGGTGGCAAAGGAAGAAGACAAGATGAAGAGAGTCTTCTAGGCTTTTCTTTTCCTTTTCTTCTTTTTCCTCACATGTTATAATAACCTTAAATGAATTTTAAATTCATTTCATGTCAAAATATCATTTTGCTCATTCATCCTTCAATCTTTGATAATATATCCTAAACAAAAAACCCAAATCAATCCTTGAACATTTCAATTTATCAAAATCAAACTATTGAATTTAGAATTCTTACACTTAATCACTGACCCAATGTTTTGGGTATTACATGATGTCTTTATAGTACGTAATTTTATACATTCTTAATGACCAAATAATAACATGTTATTATAAAATTTAAAAATAAATCTATCGAAAACATGTAATCATTACAAAACTATTTCATCTCGAGAATCTAAACATCAAATAAAAGAACATTTTAAAGGTACTTAATTTCTAGCCCAAATTAAACTACCTGCTTAGTTAAAAAGATATTGTTAATTTTAGAGGTTTGAGTTCGAGCACGAGATCCGTAAATTACTACGAGAAAGAAAATTAAGAAGTAAATAATCAATATTTTAAAAATAAAAACGGTAAACAAAGCATTGCTTAGCATTTATTCGTCTGTAATATTTTACAAAATAATAAAAGACGTTAGTCTTAATTTTTACAAAATTATATTATCGAAAAACTTGCTAATAAATATAGTAACTCTAAAAAAAAAATGAGAGTGGTAACAAAGCCTAATATAAATCTATATTAAATAAAAAAAAATTATTATCTTATTTTGAAAAATATTTGTATAAATTTTTCTTGGAATTGTTTTATTAGATTATAGGATAAATTTATATTGTTTTCTTATGTATATGCTCTACTGTGTACACCACCTTATCTTCTTATAAATTACACACATGTATATAGCATGCAACTGAGTTGAGGAATTACCTTTGAAAGTTGTAGCTTTTGGTCCTATAAAGTACTACTTGTAAATCTTCTTCATCAACTTGATAATTTAATTATACATGTTATTATCGTAAAATTATTTCATCTACAGTTTGCTAAGTAAAGTGATAATTAATAAAAAAAGGAATATATTTCTCAGGTAAAATTTTCTAAATAAATAAAAGAATTTTGTCTCATTTAAGGATTGGATTGAATTTAACTTCAAATAATTAAATGTTAGTCGTGAAAAGAATCTTAAGAAGTAAAGAATGTGTAAATAACAAGGTGTTGGGAATCAGTTCAGAATGCCACCCACTATGGGGATATCTATCGTGCCATCGTCTTGTTGAAGCAAATTATTCCAAACTTTAAATCGAATATATTTATGCCACTTGTCAATATAACCAATTTTAAATGTCTTATTGCTCGAACGGTTCCACCAAAACGGGACACGTGTCTGTCATCTCGATCCACTTTGTGTATTGAACTTGGGAGTCCACCAATGGGTGCGCCACGAGAATCCCATTTTCACCAATTAAAAATAAACCCCAAACAAGACAACTCTAACCCAAAAATTTAATCAAAACCGCCCCAATTGCTTGAAAAGAGCGGAGTAGGGGGTTAATGCACTAAACAAAAGGGTTTCCTTTTTTTAAGTCTTAATACGAGTATATAAACAGATTGA